TATGTTGGCCCTGTGCTTCGACGACCACATCGTCGACATCGAGTTCAATGGTGCACCAACGTTCAGGCCTGGAACCTACCGAATTGGCGTAGGATATGGTTCAGTGATGAATCACGATTTCTATTGGAACGACGCGATGGAAGAATGCGGGTGTACAGACGTCGACGAGAACGTTTCGCCGACGCTTGCGTTCCCCAAGTGGACAGATTCGGCCGGGACAGTGTTATGATGTGGGGAGCGATCCCCTGCCGTAGGAGAAGTGATTTGGTGATGATCCAGGGCAACCTGACAGCTCAACGGTACTGTGACGAAATCCTACGCCCACACCTCCTTCCAATCATTGATCGCCAGACGGAGCTGTTTCAACAGGACAATGCCAGGCCCCACACAGCACGTCACACTAGAGACTTCCTCCAGAACCACAACATCAATGTGTTCCCCTGGCCCTCAAGATCACCGGACTTAAACCCGATCGAACATCTGTGGGATGCCCTGGACAGACGGGTGCGACGCCGTAACCCTCACCGTAGCCCCAGACACTTCAGCAACTCGCACAGGCACTACAGGCAGAGGGCTGCGATTGGGCAACACGAGATTCTGAGACTTATTCGTTCGATGCCGAGGTGATGCCGTGCAGTTCTGGATGCCCACGGTGGTCACACGAGGTAGTGACTTCAGCGCCACCACACGTCTCCATGTGACACTCAAACTGACTTTCCTCGAGTTGGTGCCAAAGACGGATAAGTCTGCATCCCAATGTACAATTTCGCTATATTTCATTGACTCATAAAACCTACAAGATGTTTCAAAATAAACATAAACAGTTGAAATTATTATATGCGTTTCTTTTTTTGGGAGAGTATACATTCATATTCATATGCATACCATATTCAGAATATGTTAATTTCCCTTGGTCCCTTTTTGTAGTGATTCAGACACCTGTGGCCCGTGAGGTTCGTGAACACGAATATATATATATATTATTACACACACACGACAAACTGTGTGTGTGTGTGTGTGTGTGTGTGTGTGTGTGTGTGTGTGTGTGTGTGTGTGTGTGTGTGTGTGTGTGTGTGTGTGTGTGTGTGTGTGTGTGTGTGTGTGTATGTAAGAGTGCATCAAATTCCTCGATTAAACCCAGGAATTATATATATAACACCAGGCGTTGAATTGCAACAATAATAACAGCGTGACTTCAGAGTGCCAAAGCACTGCCCTCATAACCGAGGCACGGTGTTTAATCCAGATACCGTCGTGTATTCGAGTTCCAGCAAGTAATCGAGAAAACACGATATCATTGTTTGGAAACAGTATGTTTTGAAACGTTTCAAGTTTTTTTCTGCCCATCAAACTATAACCGCAATATCGATTGAACATGGAAGTTCAGATGAGTTGTTCTTCATATGAAAACTCAAGGCTTTCTAAACATTCAACCATTACTGATGGAGAAAATGACAACCGCGCAACAGATATGTACATAACTTCCACGCTATTTAGATCCTCTATTTTTTCTCGTTGTAAAATCGCCCTACTGTCAGTTGCATGGACATCGATGCATGTTGAGTTCAGTCTCGCTTGAACAACGTTTGCCACATTCACAACAGCTGTGGCATGGACCATTCAAATATAATTATGAACGTCACAGAGTCACGGCTGTTGATCAAAGTCACACCAGGGACACGAACACATATTTGTCCGAATTGCCAGTGTGCAAGATATAAATCAGTAGTGAATAGACACAGTCTTACCTGCAACACATGATTGTTATGTCAGATTCACAAATGATGAGGAATTACCAACTGTTATGTGTGCGTATAACGGTAATCTTTTTACAATATAAATGATTTGTCTGTTTCTTGCTTAACACCACACAGGTTTAGGATGATTATCTCTCAATAATTCAGTCTGGGCAAGACATGCCCATGATTTAGATCATGAGCATCGATCTACGCAATTAGGATATGTTTGCATGCGAACCTGACCACTCGATTCCTTTTGTCGCCTCTGAAGACAAGTTATTCCTGGGGCAATAACACCATAAAACTTCGTTAATCTGGACTCAGTTATTGCGGGAGCCTCGCATAACACTGAGCGATATTTTGTATTACGACATGAGATATTTACGCTGATATATACAACCAGTGTCATCAAGTATTTATCGATTTCTCACCCATTTTGGTTGACTGTTAATCGTTAACATACACGCAATCCACATGTGCACAATCCGCCAGATCACTTACACAATCATGCACATGAGATCAGGTACAGTCTCTTTGATGATGTCATCAAGTTCCCTTCGAGACCAAGCGATTAGGTCCCCATTTACCTTGACGAGGTCATTGCCTTCCCTTTGGTGCCAGCTCAGCTTAAATCCCGTGTTGCCTGAATAAGGAAATTACTGTCCTTTGGACCCAGCTGAGATTAAGTCCCCTGTTGCCAAGATAGGATCATCACATTCTCTTAGGAGCCCAGCTCAGCTCAGTTCCTACGTAGCCAAGACAAGGTCATTACATTCCCTTTGGAGCCAAGCTCATCTTCGGTCCCAAGGTGCCAGGATAAGACCATTACATTCCGTTTGGAGCCCAGCTTAACTTAGGTTCCCAGTAGCCAGGACAAGGTCATTACATTCCCTTTGGAGCAAAGCTCGGCTTAGGTCCCCAGTTGCCAGGATAACATCATTACATTCCCTTTGGAGCAAAGCTCGGCTTAGGTCCCAAGTTGCCAGGATAAGGTCATTAGAATCCCTTTAGGAAACCGTGAAGGTCCGGGTTAGAATTGGTCTTCAGTAACCCATGCTTGTTGTAAGAGGCGACTAACGGGATCGGGTGGTCAGGCTCGCTGACATCGTATCCCGTAGATCGATGCTCATGATGCTGATCAGTGGATTATCTGGTCCAGACTCGTTTAATTACAGACCGCCGCCATATAGCTGGAATATTACTGAGTGTGGCGTTAAACAACAAACCAACCAACCAACAAACCCTTTTGCAACCGGCTCAGATTAGGTCTTCCGTTACCTGGATAAGGTCATTGCCATCCCGTGTCATCCGAGTTACAACAAGTAAATAGCATTCAATCACTTGGCCAGTAACTTTAATCAGATCGGGATCAATTGGTTGATTGTGTACCATCGCACCCCGGCAATATGGCAATTTTAGTCATTAATTTGTATAATCCAAAAGTGACAAGGTACAAGCCCCAGATTCTGGGTGACAATAGGTCCCCGGCAACCAGTTTGACTTCAGGGTCGAACCATGTTGATGGCGTGTCATTCTACCCCGATGTCTTAGGTTGATGGCGTATCATTCTACCCCGATGTCGCTCACAATATCAACCACTGGCACACAGCTGGAACATTCCTGCATGCATCGTTAAACATTTTAAGCGCACACTAGGAAACCTCTGTGAATATATTGCTGACTGTAGTCGATAACAACTAACAGTCGATTTCCTTGCAAGATTATATTGTTGTCAGCGCCGTAGAGACACTGGTCACTACTTACATGTTTGACAATTTCTTAACTGATTCACCTACTTTCTGCACTTACTGTTGTTTGTGTGTAACGAAATAAACGCTGCCAGTCTGAGCTTGTTGAACTCATTGCCAGAAATCTACTTGTTCTATTATTAGTTTTGGCCCGAGATTAACGTGTTGCCCACGTCTTCTCTCAAGCTCAACCTCGTATTGTGTTGAAGGTGTGTGTTTCGTCATCGTATGATGTTTTGATGAAATCATTGACCAAGGTATAGCCTTGCCCTTGAACTTTATTGTTTTGGTACAGGGGCGGTGGGGTAGCCTAGTGGTTAAAGCGTTCGCTCGTCACGCCGAGGATCCGGGTTCGATTCCCCACATGGGCACAATGTGTTAAGCCCATTTCTGGTGTCCCCCGCCGTGATATTGCTGGAATATTGCTAAAAGCGGCGTAAAACTAAACTCAGTCAGTCAGTCAGTGTTTTGGTACACGTGATGTTTGCCCAAGGTGTATACCACAGTGACAACAGAACGTTTGTTATTGTTCCCTAAACATGAAAATGTTTGAAACATCTAACCAACATCCATCGGTCCTTCTCTCACCCTCCCATTACAGTAAAAGATTCGTCAACCTTCTCTCTCCTATACTACCATCCAAGGTTTCCCAACATTTGCAGCTCCAGGTTCCTCAACCCTTCTATCTGTCTCCGTATCCAGTGATCCTCCATTTATCTGTTCCTTTCCGCACTACATGCAGCCCAAGGTGTCCACCCTTCTAAACCACCCCCGTTACAGTCCAAGATGTCCACCCTTCTAAACCACCTCCTTTAAAGTCAAAGGTGTCCACCCTTCTCACCCTCCTAAACTATTCCAAGGGGCCACCATTCTCACCCACCTCTGTTACAGCCCAAGATGTCCATCCTTCCCAGCCTACTACATTACAGCCCAAGTGTCCACCCTTCTCACCCTCCTAAACTAGTCCAAGGTGCCACCTCTGACCCACCTCAGTTACAGTCCAAGGTGTCCAGCCTTCTTACCCTCCTATACTATAGTCCAAGGTGTCCACCCTTTTAACCCTCCTCCATTACAGTCGTAGGTATCCACTCGTCTCACCCTCCTACATAAAGTATCCACCCTTCTCACTCACCTCTGTTACAGTCAAAAGTGTCCACCCTTCTCTGCCTCCTACACTAGACTAAAGTATCCACCCTTCTCACTCACCTCTGTTACAGTCAAAAGTGTCCACCCTTCTCTGCCTCCTACACTAGACTAAAGTATCCACCCTTCTCACTCACCTCTGTTACAGTCAAAAGTGTCCACCCTTCTCAGCCTCCTACACTAGACAAAAGTATCCACCCTTCTCACTCACCTCTGTTACAGTCAAAAGTGTCCACCCTTCTCAGCCTCCTACACTAGACTAAAGTATCCACCCTTCTCACTCACCTCCGTTACAGTCAAAGTTGTCAACTATTCTCACCCTTTACAGCACAGTCCAAAGTGTTCACAATTCTCACCTCCTACACTACAGTTCAAGGTTTTCCGCTCTCACCCCTCTTCTCGCCCCTACACCAAGTCCAAGGTGTCCGCTCTCATCACTCTTCTCACCCCTATACTAAGTCCAAGGTGTCCGCTCTCCTCGCCCCCTACACTAAGTCCAAGAAGTCCGCTCTCACCACTCTTCTCGCGTCTACACTTAGTCCATTGTGTCCGCTCTCCTCACCCCCTACACTATGTCCAAGGTGACTGCTCTCACCACCCCTACACTAAGTCCAAGGTGTCCGCTCTTCTCGCCCCTACCACTCTCTTATCCTCTTCTCACCCCTATACTAAGTCAAGTGTCTCCTACACTTAGTCCATTGTGTCCGCTCTCCTCACCCCCTACACTATGTCCAAGGTGACTGCTCTCACCACCCCTACACTAAGTCCAAGGTGTCCGCTCTTCTCGCCCCTACACAAAGTCCAAGGTGTCCGCTCTTATCACTCTTCTCACCCCCTATACTAAGTCCAAGGTGTCCTCCCTCCTCACCCTCTACATTTAGTTTAATGTGTCCGCTCTCACCCCTACGCTAAGTCGAAGGTGTCCGCTCTCCTCACCCCCACACTAAGTCCAAGGTGTCCGCTCTCTCTCACCCCCTACACTAAGTGCAAGGTGTCTGCTCTCCTCGCCCCCTACACTAAGTCCAAGGTAACTGCTCTCACCACCCCACATTAAGTCCATAGTGTCTGCTGTCATCACCCCTACAGTGTCTGCTGTCTCCTCACCCCTACACTAAGTCCAAGGTGTCCGCTCTCCTCACCCCTACACTAAATCCAAGGTGTCCGCTCTCCTCACCCCTACACTAAGTCCAAGGTGTCCGTTCTCCTCACCCCCTACACTAAGTCCAAGGTGTCCGTTCTCATCGCTCTCCTCACCCCTACACTTAGTCCAAAGTGTCAGCTCTCCTCACCCCCTACACTAAGTCCAAGGTGTCCGTTCTCCTCACCCCCACACTACGTGCAAGGTGTCCGCTCTCCTCACCCCTACATTAAGTCCAAGGTGTCTGCTCTCATCGCTCTTCTCACCCCTACAGTCCATGTAGGTAGCAAAGGTACTGTAAGTCCCCATGGTCCCTAATGTGGTGATCTACCTTCAGTTGTTGGCGACCTATAGCCCGTTTTTATATTGTATTGTCTTCGTAAATGAAATAGTTTTACATGTTCATGCTAGTTTTAGACTCCATCTGTGATACTTTAGTTATTTTACAGTCCTTCGATGACTGATTATTAAGCAACTTAAATTTATTGTTTATATACAACGTTTCTTGTTACTATATGGCTGAAATATTGCCGAGGTCACGTTAGCTTTTAACTCACTCACTCACTCTCACCCCTACACTAAGTCCAAGGTGACCGCTCTCCTCACCCCTACATTAAGTCCAAGGTGTCCGCTCTCCTCACACCATACACTTAGTCCAAGGTGTCCGCTCTCACTGCTCTTCTCGCCCCCTACACTAAGTCCAAGGTGTCCGCTCTCCTCACCCCCTACACTAAGTCCAAGGTGTCCGCTCTCATCGCTCTTCTCATCCCCTACACTAAGTCCAAGGTGTCCGCTCTCACCGCTCTTCTCGCCCCCTATACTAAGTCCGAGGTGACCGCTCTCACCACTCTTCTCGCCCCTACACTAAGTCCAAGGTGTCCGCTATCACCGCTCTTCTCATCCCCTACACTAAGTCCAAGGTGTCCGCTCTCACCGCTCTTCTCGCCCCCTACACTAAGTCCGAGGTGTCCGCTATCGCCGCTCTTCTCATCCCCTACACAGTATCTCTCTAATGTGTCAGTAGCTCTGCTGATGTAACACAAATTCCTGAAAAGGCATTAAAGTATTATTCTATTCTATTCTATTCTACACTAAAGTCCAAGGTGTCCGCTCTCACAGCTCTTCTCACCCCCTACACTAAGTCAAAGGTGTCCGATCTCCTCACCCCCTACACTAAGTCCAAGGTGTCCGCTCTCACCGCTCTTCTCGCCCCCTACCAAGTCCAAAGTGTCCACTCTTCTACAGTCCATTGTTCCCCTTCCCTTCTCTCTCTGTGACTCTAACAATATAATCTAAGGTTCCGCCACATTTGTCTCTCTCACTCCGCCACCAAAGTCCAAGGTTCCTCCACCTTCTGTGCACAGGGAACTGCTGCCTGAGGCGACCGGACCTCCCATGCCCGCTAGCTTAATGTCTAAAACCGTTTAACATCGTTTGCATTATTTCCTGTCCATCAAACGAAACAATTACGTCATTAACTGCTTCTTTGGTGCGCATTTTATTTCTATTCTTGTTCTTCCTCCGGATTCTGGCTATAAAGGGGTCCACGGTCCCTAAAAATAAGGGAAGGTTGGACTGAGAACGTCACGGCCGTAGTGTCTGTTCTAATTCTGTCAGTTTTATCTAATTCAGTCGGACAATTTGTGGATAGATTCTTCGCCAACGCTAACACTTACCTCCTTCCTCAATTAGCAGATCGCTAGGTAGACGAATCTTTTAGAGGAGGTGGAGATATTACACGGAGGCCCTGGATACAGACATCGTTGGTTGAGCAGGGAATAAAAATATTTCCACATTACAAGTTACATTTGTCTCTCCAAGACGTTAATTTGTGTCGATTTTCAATTTACCAAGTTGAAAACAATTAAATAAATCAGAAATACTGTGGCCATTTTGTTCACAAACGTCACTCACAATGTACATAAAGTTTAGCGACTACTGGTTTTGATTCTTGGAACTGTGCCATAAATTTGAGATGTCTGATTTTTTGCTGTTATTGTCCGCAATTTTCTAATTCGATGAGCACAAGGCAACAGACCATGTGATGATTATAACCTTTCTTCACTCGATATATCGGTTTGCTGAACTAATCAATAGAGACTATAAATGCTGGTTTATTCGAACCTAAACTTCTCACGTTAATATCGGTATAGCCCCGACTACTAGATACGTCGGCTCGTATCGTTGTTGTTCCGGAGCGAGGAAGGTGCCTGCATCACTTGACAGAGGACCTGGTGATAGCAACGGAGGTCGAGTGACGCCTTCCACAACGACGTTCATCAGTCATGCATTGGGCAACTTGATTGTCGGATAGTCAGACTAAAAATTAATGCTTCACGGATCTTTACCCAAAGTCTGAAGATTCAATAACTATAAAACATTTCAAATATTGTTTGTCATTTCGTCATTAATCGTTGTGTTGTGATTTCTTTTCAATAAATGCTCACCCGGTTTATGGTTTATTTTAATTTTAATTTTTAGGGATATGGGGGTGGAGGGTGTAAATTAGTTATTTATATTGATTTTGACAGTTGGTCTATTTGTCTTTACATTATTTCTGGACAGCGGAATATAAAAAAACTCCAACCTTCGAGCTTCATTAGGTTTTTTTCTAATTTAGTTTTCCTTTCTATTTTTGTCATTTTCCAGTTTTCAGATGACGGTGGATTTGTACACCAAGCTTTAACATATCTTGCATATAAACTTTATTATGTACAAACATTGCTGGAATATTAACTTAGGCGTAAAGGAATTATCGGTGAGGCTTGCGTGCCTGACCCAGTGGACGAAGGCACGAGGAGATTCGCTATACAACGTTGCGTCCCTTAGTTGCCAATTACAGACCACCGGTCCGCTGATCGTGAGTGTAAATCCAGTGAATGTCCCGATTATGATCCTTCGTATGTCCGCGGAAGAATCGTGTCCAATGTAGCCATCTACGACAAGATCCACGTTCTCTCTCAATGACCTGACTCACTGGTTGTTTAACGCCTCACTCACCAATATCCCAGCTGTCTGGCGACGGTCTGTAAAAATCAAGTCTGGACCAGACAATCCAGTGATCAGCAGCATGAGCATCGATTTACGCAGTTAGGACACGATGACATGTGTCAACCAATTCAACGAGCCTAACCACCCGATCCCCTCTTACGACAAGTATGGGTTGCTGTAAACCGATTCTAACCCGGATCTTCACAGGTAGCTGACACGCTGAAATTACTGGAATACTTGTCACTGCGATGTGATACAACTCCCTCAAGTAGAAACATCACACCTAGAAATTCTTCAGCTCATACGCATCAAGCAGGAGTAATCCCTGTGTCTGTGCTGTGTGCGCCATGGAGCGTATAACACACGGTGTGTGTATATAAAGAATGTGACGCACCGCTGAACAGCACGCACCCTGGGAATGTAGATAATGTTCGTATCATCAACAGCTCTACTGGGACTAGATAAGACTGTGCACCACCATTGTGGGTCCAAAGATACATGGCATTCGTGGTGCAAGTGCCAAACAGACATGGAGTGTTTGGTAATCCAAATTGGTATTATCGTTAGTAATAATATATACTACTGTACTATATACAATGATTTTCTTGTTGTCTAACTCCGCATTCAGCAATATTCCTGCTAAATGACGGTGGTCTGTAAATAGGCTAGTCGGGACCAGACAATCGGATGATTGATAATGCGAGCAACGATCCACGGCGTCGGGGAAGGAACGCAACCAAGCCTCTTGCTATCCTGAAATCCCCAAGGGAGATAACACATGCATGATAATATATCTATCCTTAGCGTCATTAATTGAGGAGTCACCAAGGTATGTACGTTGTCAAACATGAGCATTGGTCAAGAACCATCAAAGTACGTTGACAGTGTGAATAACAGTTGACGAACGTGCTGCTGATGCCAATGACACATTGATTGTGAGCTTGTATTAAACAGGGTCAAACAAAAATCGGAAACTCATAAAAACTACAAACTTGAAGATAATGAAACATGCTACCTCTAAAACACCCACCTCAACGGATCCTGCGGTTTGTCTCGTGGACATAACAATCAAAGTCAACGTGGGTGTAAAACGGTTCTGCAAACTGCTCTCTTGGAATTGAAAATGTGATAGGTTTAAAAAAAATACTTTTACATCTTATGATCTGCGCGACTTCTCCATAATTACGCGGAGTACATGTAACACTACATGTAAAGTAGTACATGGATAATTCAGATATGAAAAAGAATATTTACCCATGTCACATTAAACAAATTACTGCAGCCATCACAAGGACAATTCAGTTTATTACGAATGATATAATGAACAGAATTAAGACGAAAATACATTAAACTCTTAAAAAACCGAAACGCATAGGCCAAAATAGAGGACATGTATTAAACATATTTAAGTGTACAATGTACATAAGTCGATTAAGCTTGAAAATAGATGATGGAAATTCGACACACGGACTAACATTATGTATTGTTGTCATTGTCAGCATTAATTCAGTTCACTCACTGCACATGTGTGGGTACAATGGGACGTTCAGGTCAGTACCTGGTGACACCACCCCTTGCAGCCGTCACTGCTCGACACGGCCTTGGAAGGGATTGCACAAGTCGTCGGATTTTTGCTTTGGAAATTCTTCGCCATTCTTTCTGCAACGCGTTGGCAAATTTTGCAAGCGTCTAAGGTTCGTTCCATACTCGATCTGGTTCAGATCAGACAATCTGATGGCCAGGGAAGGCCATTGACGTCTGCATTGGTGAGATAGGCACCTGTTACACGAGCTGTGTGGGTCGAGCGTTGTGGTGGTCAAACAGCTCCCTCTGGCGGTTAAAAGGTGGGGGGAGGGGAGGTATAAGGATTTGGCCGATGCAGTGATTTGCTGTAAGATTGGCTTGAACCACCATCAGCTCTAATGTACCCGTGCAGGACATGTTCCCCCACACCTGAAACCCCCACACACATAATCTATCCAAAATTAAAAATAATTTCTTTGCACACATACTCGCAGCTATGTTTTAGAAACAAATCTTACTCCTCAGCGTTCTTCGTGGTACAAATAACACGCTTCAAACAACTAAAGCTAAATGGGAGATTTTGTTACAATTGGTTTCTTGCTACGATATATTCTCGGGACAATCACTACTTTCATTTCAGACAGTATGTCCTAAACCTCTGGGGATGTAAGCGTAACTATAGTTCCACGTCTAACAACAAATCACCTATGGCATTTTCAACTTAAGTTTGAATTGTCCGCGTGTGGGATAAGAGTTGGAAGAAAATGAAAAATCAAATACATGTCTGACATAATTGAATTTAGTTCCTATCTGGGAAACTAATAATTCAAGAAGACCGTTTGAGTTTTTGAGAATAAATATAAATGTGGTATAAATTCCCTCAAATAAAGAAATAAGAAGTTTATGAGCTTTGGATTCCAATACAAAAGAGAAATTACCTCTTTCAGGTTTTAGAATGATTACAGAGTTTGATAGCAGTAGTGTGGGGCATTAATTTGTTTGTCATACGAAGTTCTCATACTCAGTTCCAGTTTGGCATTTATATATACTTTGTTTCTTTCAGAACCATGCATGGACATCGAAGGAACTCATTGGTCAAGTGTCGTAAGCCACACAAGTCCCTTAGCTCTAAGAACCCACGACAGAAGGAAACATGATTTAATGTGTGTATAATATCGGAGGACGTACAAAATTCTAAATGTAGCCTCTGACGGAATGGGTAAACAATTCCCTGCAATCGGTTAAAGCAATGGAAAATGGCGTCTACTATTCCTAGAAGGATAAATACACGAAGTCATGTTTGGCTTATCGGCAATGTAAAAGTCTGGAACGAGGTACAGAGATGACAAAGTCATCGATATTCCATGCTATGGAGAATTCTTGTCGTGAAAAAATCAATGAGTGAGTGAGTGAGTTCAGATTTAAAGTCACTTCGGCAATATTTCAGCCATAGTTTGACTAAAACTAGTTCTAAATTCATAATACATATATATAATATATAAAACCCTGTCAACGAAGGACAGTAAAATTACTAAATTATCACAAAATCAGTTAAAACTAGCTAGCATATATCTTTAAGGAAGAAAACTATTTTTGGACAATACAATGTAAAAACAGGCTGTAGATCGCAAGCAACTGAAGGTAGAGCACTATACTAGGGACCACGGGGACCTACAGTGCCTTTGCTACCTACATGGACCCTAGCTGGATTTACACCATCCCTTCAGCCACTGGCGATCGTAGACAAATTTAAAATTACAAA